CAATTTCCATCCTCCTTGCCAATCCGTTTACCATCTCTATTCTGAAATGTTTATCATGTTTTGTAAGTGTGATTCTAATTATAACCAAGGTGATTGGTTTCCTTCCTCTGGCTTTGTTGCTATCTCCTTTCCAATTATCAGCCAAAAGGAAAACACCCAGTAATCAGGATCTAGCAGTCAATATGGATGGTCTTACTTTAAGGTTCAACATATCTTCTCTAACCTGGATTGCCATCTGCTCCTTCGACGTGCATTTGCACATTTCCAAGTTGAAATAATGTGATTTTAAACATGCATAGGAAAATACCCTGATCAGAATTTGCTTTAGAAGGGGGCATGGTTTAATTAAATTGAACTATGTACACTTATATGGGAATTGAAGTCAGGAAATCCAAATTCCAACAGATTCTCTGCCATTAAAGTTCTCAGGATGATTATCTTAGGCCTCTCTCCCCCCGCCCATCCCCCACACCTATTCCACCCAACTGTTATTCTGAGAAAAAGTAATAAGGGGAAGGAATGCGATGCATGGCAGTTTAGATTCCTGAAATGAAATTTGAATGGAACTCTTAACAGATAAATAACATACAATAAATTGGAAGGTTCATAGATTTTTTAAAAAGAATCTTTTCTTTTGAAATGTGCTCATCTGCCAAATAAAAAAAATTAAAACCTAAGAATTAAATGGAGAGGTAAAGAATAACTTGGGTATTTTGTAACTGAGAACCCCAATATGATCGCTTCTAATGAAGAGAAAATCTCCACAGCAGCCCTTTTAAGAGAGCATCCATAACATTCCAGAAGACCCCAACATTTTAAAGTTCTCCCCATTCCAAAGATGACTACATCCTTAATTTATATATGAGTAGATTATAATCTATTTATTTTATTCTATTCTAAATTTGATTTTAAGTTAGTTGCAATTGTTTCTGTATATATCTGTATCTCATTTATATGAACGGTTTTTTTTTTTGGAGGGGCGGATATATTTCATACCAGTTTGCATGCATTTTTAAATTGTTGACTGTCTAGAAAATATATTGCAATTAAAAAGAAAAGCATTCTGATATATTAGAAAGCCTCAATATTGTGCACCCAAGCCACAAATGGAAAAAAAATACTTGTATTGGAGAATTAAATGCTAAAATCACCTGTGCCAAGACCATTTTTTCCTATTCACTTATAAAATCATCCAACCATAATAGTGTTAATATAATAACACTAGTGAAGACAGATATTATTTGTCCTCAGTGATGGCTGGGTGAAGCTAGAAAATAAATTACTAGTGGGGAAAAAGGCTCAAAGCGGCATCTTAAATAATCTTAAATGTCTGGAAAGGATGGGACTCTAAAACAAATGGAGTTCATTAAGCAGGATTACCCATTGTTTAACTGTGGTTTATTGACTAAATAACAGCCGATTAAAGCATATTGCAGAATTTAGAAATCCGCAATGACTGGATTTATAGAAATGTGGTAGCATCTTCTGGCTAGGAGTTTACCCAGGCATGTTAACATCCTTTTGTCAAATGAGCTGCACTTCTGCAAATCCTGATGAGCTCTTTAGAGGAGTTTGCAGCCTGCTGTGAAGGCATTTGTATTCAAGATCTTTTCATGTTATTCTGTATTTAGTCCCCAAAGAAAATAACTCTAAAAATATGCTGCATATTAAAAATAATTTTGAATGGTTTCTTTTGATACTGCAACTGTTTTTATTCTATTTTTTTAAATGTGCCAATAAAATATTAGCAAAAGTTTTGAAGCAGAATAGAGGACCAATACAAAGACTCAAAATGCAATCAGATTGACATAGATTTAGTTCATGAATAACATGCATTTTGACGTATTTCCATTTATAATTGCTGGAGAATAACCAAGGATTAGTGTTTTAATTTCACAACTCAAATACGTTACTGCAATACATATTATCAGTGTGAGCTGTAGGCATTATACTTTAATTAGTGCATGATTAATCTGTTCAATAAATTACCATAATCTATGCTGATGGTCACTAACTTGGATGGCTTTAAAAGGAAATTGGAGAACAAGTCTTTTAAGACCTATTAGTCTTGAAGAGTCAGTACTACCCTACAACCAAGGCAGCCCACTTTAGTATATCAGATGCAAGTGGACAGTTGGAGAGTGGTGCATTTCATGTTCTTCTTAACATCCCAGGTGCTAAAATGCTTTTGGTTGGCCACTGCAAGAAACAAAATGCTGAACTGAAAAGACCCTCAACCTGATCAAAATTATTACATTCTTAACCAGAAGTCTTAGATCATAGTGGTACATGAATGGATAAAAGAATAGACAGGCAGGCAGGCAGACATGCCTGTGACAATTCATGGGTAAATGCTTTGGGTATTTCTAGATAGGCTTTGAATTTGCTTTATTTGTAGAAATTGAATTTGTCTCTGACTCTAACCACAGAGAGAAGAAAGGCAAACTTGCTGCCCAAAGTCTTTTGACTGGCATTGACTCCTACATCTGGAAGAATTTTCAATTGATTTATATTATTTGTCACTATTTTCACTTTACTGCTCATTTACTTTCTTCTTTTTCTTTCCCCTTCAGCATAATTTGGAGCAATGGACTAAAGAATAATATCAGCTATGACAAGAATTGCATAGTTCATCAATAAAAACAAAACTATTGTTGTTCATGTATTTTATTTTTAAAAAATAGAATAAAATGTTTTAGCATCATTTTAGATCATATGCCTTTTAAGAAAAATATAAAGTTTATTGATAAAATGAATGTATCAAAAAGTTTACAATTTTAGATTAATTTTAACCAATGGCTTACTTGTCAGTTACTTGTCAGTATGGACAATGGCCTTCTAGTCAATATAAGTTAATGATTTTATTACAGACTTTGAACAACTGAAATTGGGAAACCAAGAAATTGGTTTCAGGGGAAAGGGACAGAAGAAGGAGGAAGGAATAAGGACTGCACCCGTAATACTTCTCTTCAGAGTATCCTCTTCTGCCATTGCATTTCTGACTACACTGGCAATCAGGGCATTTTTTATGAATGGATGTTCAATTCTGTCCTATGCGGGTTACTATTTACACATTGTATAGGCAAATGGAGTAAAGATTGGAAAGAGGAGAATAAAACTTTCTGATGCGTAAAACGTGCAAATATTTTTCTAATTAAAGAATGCACTTAGAAACTTGCAACAGATAGATTAGAACTAAATATCAATACATACTTTGTGTCATATATCCTGTTTTCCCCCCAAATAAGACTTCCCCGGATAATAAGCCCAATCGGGCTTTTGAGCACATGCGCTAAAATAAGCCCTCCCCCAAAAGTAAGCCCTCCAGCAAAATATTGCAATACAGCAGCAGCCATGAGGTGACCACACTCGCCGCCTCCTGCACTTCAAAAATGACCTCCCCAAAAATAAGGCCAAGTGCTTATTTTGGGGGGGGGGTGTCAAAAGAAAATAAGACCCTGTCTTATTTTAGGGGAAACACAATATTGATAGCTAGGGACTAGGATATTTTACCAAGGTAAACTAAAAAAATGGGAGAAAACCTGTATGAAACAGCAATGATTGCAATGATCAACAGCAACCTCATTTCTGCATAAAGGGGAAGAAGCTTGGGCATGATAGTCAAGCAGTGGCACCCATAGAAACCACACTGACATTAAAATGGTGATATATATGATGTGGTCATGCAAATGCTGTCAAAAACATCAGTTTAAAATAGTAATGACAGTTTATTAAGGGCATAAAATAACAAAAAAAAGTGACACAGTGTTAGGTTGAAAGAAAGAAAATAGGCCATGTGGTAACAAATTATAATTGGATAAAGCCAGTGTGAGAAAGCAAATATGCATGAAAGAAAGATTTATGTACTTATTTACATCTTGCCTTATTTATTTTTATAAATAACTGAAGGTGGCGAACATATCTCTTCTCACTTTTCCTAATTTCACAGTAAAGATTTTAGTTAAGTACATAGAAAATAAAAATGGATCGTAGTGTCATTCTATTTAGGTACTTGCTTTACCTAGAATTTCCATGGGGTTAGATTCCTGCCTGTATCTTGAAAGCTGGTGGTTTAGAATCCAGCTTCCCCCTCCCCTGCCTGCTGTCCAGCCGACTGCTATTCCGAGGAAAAATTCAAAAGAGAAAAAAGTTGGTCAACTAGCCCCACCAAACTTTTCTCTATAAATCTATTATGGATATTTTCGGACATGACAGGATCCTAAGAACATCAACGGTCACAGTGCCCAATGCAGCCACACACACAAAATGGACTCTTTACAAAAGTTTTTTTTTAAAATCCATTAATGCACTCAGTCATATGGACATTGCTGGATGTAGGGTACTGAAGGGCTGAACTGACATCAGTTTCTGTCATTCATATGGGTTAACAGGACCACAAAAACTTAAAAGAATCTATAATGGCAAACATACCTAACAGTTGTAGAAATGAATGTTTTGGATCAGCATCTCCCTGCTTATGTTTGTGACAGATACTTTGGTGAAAATTATCATTCCTGATCATTTGATTAGGTTGGTTAGGGATCTGTAGTTAAAAAGATTGTGAAGGTGCCACATTGCACCTGGCTATTTTGTCATCCTCCTCGTTCACTAGCAAGAGAGAACTTTTCTCCTATTTTTGCACTGAAGTTACATGACAATCCCAATTCTTTTTTTTCCTTGCACTGTACTGATTTCCATTGCTGTTTTATATTGTTTTCTCACTTCTTTTTTTAAAAGAAGATTTGATATTTGTATAAAATATTATTTTTCTAAACAGAATGGAATCATATGGTGAATATATATTTTATCATGTTAGCTTCTTAAACTGGTAGATGCACTTTAGTAACACAAATGTTCATATGCACATTTTCTAAACCTACAGCATATATTTCTAAATAAATAATTCTGCAATAGTGGAGCCCCTCTGTATCTGGCTGATGGCTTGTAGCCTTCAGGTTGAAAAACGTGCAAATAAACACCCTAATATTAAAAAAAACCTCAACAGTTTTAAATTGTTTATTATAAAAATCTATTAATGCCAATAGCTACATGAAGGATATATTTGACCACAAAGAAAATTTGGCCAGAAGATGTAGCGCTTATTGAATGGGGCAAATCTCCAACACCGAGCTGCTTCTCTGTCGCACTGGCAAATTATGCTTTGACATCTGTCTAGAACAGCATCTGAAAAAAGGAATGAAGAAGATACTACTGCTGGTTATGATGAAGTAGAGCACAAAAACAAAATAGTCCTGCTTATCTATGAAACTGGAATTTATAAAGATATATATGGTAATATTAAAAGATAAAGGATTGTTCTATTTGAAACTTTTTTGAACACCTTAAAATGGTTAAAATGAAATTTATATTGCTTGAAGGCCATTTTTAGACATTAAAAAAAATTCATGATTGGGAATTAAAGCATTGTCTGGGTTTAACAAATGTGCACTAACCCACTATATTTTACAATTGTATAATATGTATTTATCAATTTATATGTTAAAACAACGCCTATGTCACAAACATCCTCTTTTAAAACAAACATTTTTCTAGGCCCTTCTGTGAAAAGTCAGCTTGCAATTTAAGAATCAAGAGAGTCATTCTGAGAGCAGTGTCTCAGCACAGGTGACTCTCCAAAAATCTAAACTTCTTAGTAATATAACATATGAAAAAGAAGACACCTCTTTCATTAAATAGGCAAAGGATTCCTAATCCTTGCTGCTCTTCTAAACTCTGAGGTAAAAAAAAAACCTGTAATTTTTAAGAAATCCACAGTCATGGTACTGTTACAAATAATGGTACAGTGGTTAGAATGCAGTATTGCAACTAAATCTGCCCACAGCTAGGAGTTCAATCCTGACCAGCTCAAAGTTGACTCAGCCTTCCATCCTCCCGTGGTCAGTAAAATGAGGACGCAGATTGTTCACTTTGCTGATACTATAAACAGCTCAAGGAGTGCTGTAAAGCACTATGGAGTAGTCGATAACTCTAAGTGCTATTGCTATTGCTGTTATGGTGGTTGATGATCAAGAGCTGCCCTTTATATTGAGAAGAGCCAGGGTTTTGTAGAGTTTTCAGGACTGGTTTGTTTTTTTTGAAAAGTTCTGTTTAGTCTATTTTGACGTGTACCCTATAATTTTATTATGTCATCAACCTCGAAGAAACAACACTGCATCACTATTTTTAGCCATCACAGTCAAGTGGTGGCTACAATGAATGGCCTGCATCCCTAAAAACACCGGATTTTGTCCACCTGTGTGTTATGAATTGCAACATATAAAATCTATAGCAATTCAACACTGTTTATATATTTTACATATTAAGATTTCTGTCCAAAACTTTACCCTTCCATCTGCAAACTAACCACAGACCTTGGAAAACTGACAATATGCTACAAACAACTTGAGTAAAAGTACATGGCATTAAGCACAAGACAGTATATATCTGTATTCAATATTCAATATAGCCATTTTTCCCACCACTAGTCTCCACAAAAAGATTGTAACTGCTTTAAAGACATACGTATGAACTTTCTAATTAATTAAAATATCCAACATCAAAATCGATACCCTTTCACAATCACTTTTAACCCAGAGAAACATTTAATTCAATTACTATTACACTGTGTTTTTATAAGCTGAATCCTCAGGCAGCTATGAGGAATTGTGTTAGTATTAAAGTTGTTTAAAACAAAGTCTGCTTAAAACAGTGTTATGAATCTTCCAAGATCTCTGAGAAAACCAATAGGACCTTCTGAAATTAAAGTTGAATGTTTCATCTCTAGAAACATCTGTATGTACTTGTGCCTCTCTGAGATCAGATAAAAAATAATAATGACATTCAGGTTGTACCTTACCGCATATCACAGTATTGTCCTGACAAGTCCACTTATATCTTTCTGTTATGGGGTTACAGCCTTGTCGTTGTGCAAAGTCATAACAGCAGTCATGTCTATGGCAGCACCTTTCAGCAACAGAGACTCATTAATATCATTGATGTGAGCCTTGAACATCAAGCAGTATGTGCGCCACTGTGAAACTCTATCTCTAGTGTTACAGGGCTCTGGTACGTGCAAAATTCATAAGCCCTGTCAAGTACTTCCATGAAGCTCATTACAGTCTGGATATTTTAAATAACCACTTCTCTGAAGTTTCTTAGGAAAACATAGCAATGGTGGTTTAATTTTCACAAATACATATTGTGTATATATGTAGGGTGAAAACATAATAATTCAAACTAAATACCTTTCTAGTTCCACTGCAACAAGAGATCACATGGACATGGTCATACCTTTTCTCTATTGCCTTCTCTATTTAGTAACATTATGATATCACCCAACATAATAAAGGACAGGGTTTGTACTAATCATATCCTGTTACTGTTCTGAGTACTCACAATTATTTTATTACAATACAATACAATACAATACAATACAATACAATACAATAGCAGAGTTGGAAGGGACCTTGGAGGTCTTCTAGTCCAACCCCCTGCCTAGGCAGGAAACCCTATACCATTTCAGACAGGTGGCTATCCAACATCTTCTTAAAGACTTGCAGTGTTGGGGCATTCATAACTTCTGGAGGCAAGTTGTCCCACTGATTAATTGTTCTAACTGTCAGGAAATTTCTCCTCAGTTCTAAGTTGCTTCTCTCCTTGATTAGTTTCCACCTACTGCTTCTTGTTCTACCCTCAGGTGCCTTGGAAAATAGTTTGACTCCCTCTTCTTTGTGGCAACCCCGAGATATTGGAACACTGCTATCATGTCTCCCCTAGTCCTTCTTTCTCTTAAACTAGACATACCCGGTTCCTGCAACCGTTCTTCATATGTTTTAGTCTCCAGTCCCCTAATCGTCTTTGTTGCTCTTCTCTGCACTCTTCCTAGAGTCTCCACATCTTTTCTACATCGTGGTGACCATCGTGGGTGTTACTTGCTCTCCTTTTTCTTATTACATTATACTATTATTTTTCCATATGTTCTTGTCTCAAAGTAAATGTATTAGACAGAGTGGGATTAATTCAGTTGAAGAATGTAATGGAAATATGAACTTAATAGAGAAAGAAATGGCATACGTACCAATCTGTTGCATCCTTGGGCCAACCTCTTCCTCCTAGACCACAATAGCACCCATAACCTACATAGGCCAAAGAAAATCGGCTTGTACCACATTTTAGGGCTCCGTATAATTCAATGAGTCCTCTTTTAGTCACAAAATGGTTTTTGCCAAGAACACCATTCCATACTGCAAAGGCAGAAATTAAGATTTTACTGCATTTGAGTAGGTCCGTACAATAATTGCTCTATCTCTTTTTACACAATCTGCTTCTGCAATTATACAAACATTATATCTGTGTTTGGCTGGAGTGTTGGGTAGCTGTTAGAAAGTAGAGGAAGTTTAGATTAAACTTTGGGTTGCTGTACCCCTCAATATTGCTCAAGGCTTCAAGCAAGCCTGCATGCAGAAAGTTGCATAGCAACATTACTATTTTGGAGGAACCAACTTCTTATTTTCCATGCAATAGCTTCAAAGAACTCCCTTCCTGCACTAGATGGTGAAAGATGAACAGGGTTGAAGGCATTCCTCATAGGCAATATAAATATATTGTTTATCTCAGTACATTTGCTATGAACTGTGTGTATTAATTTTAGTCTGCACAGGTGTCAAGAAATATGAAAATTAAAACCATGTTGGGAGTGCAGCAAGTGAATGGGAAACACAACAAAGTAGAATGGGCAAGTTTTCAACCTACTGATTTGAATAGAATTATTTGCCATTTATGTTGGGCACATTTTCAAGACAAAAACGAAACTCCAAACTGAAGAATTGTTTTAAAATTCACTTGCTTTTTTTCTCCCAGGATATTACTTGACTATCAAATATGCATGCCTGAAAATTTCATATTCTCTTTTTATTACACAGTATTCAACCTTAACTATATTTGTTGTAAGAAGAAAATTAAAAACTTAGTAGAGATTGCAACCTCTGAGTCATAACAGGCAAGCATACGCTTAAACAGAAACGGTCTACTGCTACTTCAAATATATAAATATTAAAGCATGTTTGTATCTGTGTGTGTGTGTATGTGTCTGCTGCAGAATTCCTCAAGACACAGAGAAAACACTTCTATCTCATTGATAGAAAAATACACGTGTTTGTGATTCTATACACACCCATACAATGTATGGGTATGTATAGAATCTCAGAGCCTAGAAAAAAATAGAAGTTTTTTTCAATAGAAGTTTATTAAAGGAATTTTATCAACATTAAGATAAACAAAGTGATAAATTATTAGTAATGAATTCAGTCTGTGAATATTTACAGATTGAAAATCATAGCTTTTGACCCCAAAGAAATTAAAAGAAACTAAGGGTGAATTTCATCTTTTTTTTAATTGATTCCTGCCACCCATCAGTTAAATTCAAAACCAAGTATCATTTCAAAATGGTTTCAGTCACATTTTATATTCTAAGTGTAGTTTCAAAATTGGCTATTGTGTCACAGTATTTATTCAGCAAGGCAGTTTTGCTGAAACCTTAGAAATTTAAGAATGCACATAAAGCCTTGTTTTCTTTGTGTTTTCATGTGACAACATGATGCCGCAAGTTTTCATGTGACAACATGAGGCCGATGCAGCTGTGTTCTGAGCCAGCTGAAGCTTCCAAATATTCTTCAAGGGTAGCCCCATGTAAAAGGCACTGTAGCAATCCATGTGTGAGATGACCAGGGCTTCAATGACTGAGCAGCCATACTCCCAATTCAGGAAAGTGCAGTACACAAAGGTCTGCAATGGGTCTCTTAGCCACAACTGCCAGCTACTCATTGAGCAAGAGTCATGAGTCCAGGAGAACCCCCAATTGTCTGGGGGAGTACAACCTCATCCTTTAAAGATCTTAAAGTCCCAGAACTAGAAGCTCCTCATCTTACAGGGTTCATTAATCTGCGTGCAAGTTCTACATTGTGAAACAATGCTTCTAATATCTGAAAGCAACTACTATCATTATTTAAATCAACATTTTTTTCTGCTGACATTTGTTTACTCCATTTCAGCCTACACATGAAATAACTTTTCTACAGAAATATCACTGTAGGAGGATGGAAAAATAGGTAAAGTGATATTTAAAGCATCACAAACACATATACAAAAAAGTGGAAGAGCTATTCAACTATGAGAATTGTTATTTGCCCTTGTGCTGAATTATCTATTGAACTAGTTCCACCAAAGTGGTTTTAATTGTCTAATAAAATGTTTAGGTTTGACACCCACTTAACTGGAATATGTACAATCTTCAAGATACAAGTCTTTATCTCTGTTTGCCGGTTTTCACACAAATAAAACAAATGGACCTATTCCTTTATTATTTAAATGCTCAAACAAGTGATTATGACATCATTGTTTTCATGACTGAGGACACTATGAAAAAGTGTGCTATCCACATCTTTCTTGTTTCACTTGACTACAGCACTTTAAAGACTCATATAATAATACATCATCAACATTCAGTGGGGAAAACAGAAGGGAAAAAGGATCAGCGTTTCTTTGAGGCCAGCATCTACCATCATTTAACATTTCATTTGCACTCACCTGCATGAAACAGCAGCAGTGTCACCAGCTGGCGTACCATGTGGAGATCGTATCACCTCACTGTGTCTGCACACCTACAGTCTGTCTAGACTCTTCCTGTAGTTCTGCTGTCCAACTGAGCCAAGCAATGGGTGTGTATAAACAGTCTTACTGGATTGCTCCTTTATAGTCTACTCTCAGAACTAAAGGTATGAATCCATAAATTTCAAACACTTCCTTCTGAGCAAAACGAGATCGTTATTCAGAGGCTTGTGAAAGGACAGTTCTCTGATGCCAAGACTTCTATTTGCAGATTGTTCCTTTCATCAAGTCTTGGTAAAAAAGAATTTGACTGAATCTGCTGGACAGGTCGAGATATTACACCCACAAAACTGGTGTTCTTTTCCTAAGCTTTTGTTTGCAGTCCCTAACTGACCTCATCATTTGTTTTACAGATCTTAGTATTAAAGACTTAGTTCTGGTAACTGGTATATTGGCAGCATTTAAACTAAAGAACTATTAAAATAAAGATCCTTTGTCTTAATACTTGAGATTTTAGCAAGCTGTTTAAAATGAAAAACATGTAGTAGTTCAAAATCTGGCAATTTTAGATTTCCCAATATATCTGTGGCCCAACTTTGCCTAAGGACTCCTTGAAATGCCTGACTTTTATTTGGGACTGTCCTTTCTCCATGATAGTCATTTTGTGAAAGGACAAGCCCTCTTCCATGACAGACATCATAAAGGTCCATATGATTGAATGTTCCAGTCTCATCTGTCCTGCAATGAAGCAGACAATGTATATCCCCATCTACTCATTGGCGCCAGCTATCTGTAATCCATTAACTTTAGCATTCTTCAAATAGAATTATTATTTATTGTTTAAATAAGTCATTTAAAGGTACTAAATAAAGTAGAATTAATCTACTTGATTAATTTAATAGAAAGGAAAAATGCAGTTTTAAAACTGGTGATCTTTTCTGTCCTTGTTTAATAACCCTCACAGTGGGTCTTTGACAACTCGGCATGGCCAACTTGACACAGCCAACTTACCAATACCTCTGCCAACTCAGTGCTGTCAAGTTGTCGCAAGACAACTAAACTGTACCAATTCATTGTGTAGACAACTCGTGGCAGATAGCCAGAGGGAGAGGCAGGCGGACAAGCAAGCAGGTGGGCAGAGTGCAGTGCGGTGGTGGTGACCAGGAACAAAGCATTTTCACACGCACCACTGCTGAAGGCTGTTTAGTGGCAGCGGTGTTTGGGACGTTTGGGTCAGCAGTGGTGGGAAGGACAGGTGGGAGCAGATGCAGGGCATATCTCATTTTCATACTACCGGAGAGATCAGTGCAGCAGCAGCAGCAAGGGGTGTGAAAATGATAGTCACCTGGCCCCTATCACCCACCCACCCACCCACCCACCCACCCACCACCCCCGAATGGCCCAAACATCGCCACTACTTTCAAATGGCCTATGGCAGCAGCAATGATAGTGTGTGAAAATGGGAAGTGCCGCTCTACGCTTTGCCCACCCACTCACCTGTCTGGCTGTCCTTCTAGCTGCCTGTGCCAAGTTGTCCCCACAGTGAATTGGCCATGTTGAGATGTCCTGTGACTTGGCATGGGTGAGTTGATAGACATGACTTGGCAATGGTTAGCTGGCCGCTTTGAGGTCGCAGCACTGAGCTGGCTGCACCAAGTTGTCACATTCCACTTCACAGTAGTATATGTGGCTTAAAAGAATTTTAAAATCAAAATCAGGTTGGACATGAAAACAGCAACATGTCATCTGAAATTATTATCATATAAGTTTTTACTGGCAACAGGCAATTTGCAATTGTGCATACCTCCTTCAGCTCCTAAACTCTGCCTTTAAATTACAGGAAATAAATGCTCAAGGATGGGTGTGACTATGTACAAAGCTGGGAACTCTTGCCATGACTTGACCCCAAGAAAACAATAATTTCCTTATGTAACTTAGAATGTGACATGTGTTTGTTGAAATATCAAGCCCTTTGATACATGAGGCTAACTCATATCAAAACCCTGGGAAAACTAAAATTATTGCAAAGGGGAAAGGATTTCAACCTCGCAATAAGAAGTAATAGTACAAATGAGGGTATGGCTATACTCCAAACAAGTCTTTAGCACCTCGTAGGATCCCTGCTCCGGAGCTTGTCGGGTGTGAGTCCCTNTGAATCGGCTTGCTTTAAAAGCACTTTTTAAAGCGCCCTTTTTTCTCTGCGGTGTTTTTTGTCGCGCTGCTGATGACGTCAGAGACGCGCTTTAATCGGGCGCGCTTTAGTGGACCACGGTTTTGTCGTGCCACGGTTTTCCAGTATTTAAGGCTGCCACAAGAAGAGGGGTCAAGCTATTCTCCAAAGCAACCTGAAAGCAGAACAAGAAACAATTGATGGAAGCTAATCAAGGAGAGAACCAACCTAGAACTAAGAAGAAATTTTCTGACTATGAGAACAATTAATTGGCAAATGCCTTGCCTTTCAAAACTTGTGAATGCTCTGTCACTGGAGGTTTTTAAGAGGGGATTAGACAATCATTTGTCTGAAATGCTAGTGGGTCTCCTGCTTGAGCAGGGGGTTGGACTAGAAGATCTCCAAGGTCCCTTCTAACTCTGTTATTATGTTATTTGGTATAGATGAATTCTCCAGTGAATTCCTTCCCTTTGGTAACACAGAAGCACAAACGGTTATTTTCTTCCTTCCTTGTCTAGTTACCATTTACTTTCCTCTAATCTCCGGTCCATTTTGTCCCCTCTTTAGCTTTTCCTTGCATTTGTAGCAGAGGTGGGTTCGTACCAGTTCGCACCAGTTCGGTAGAACCGGTTCATCAAATCTACCGAACCGGTTAGAAGAGGTTCCACCAGTAGCCCAGAAAGCAGACCACACCTACAGAAGAGGGTCCAAAAATTTTTGAAACCCACCACACACACACACACACACACACACACACACAGAGAGAGAGAGAGAGAGAGAGAGAGAGACAGACAGACAGACAGACAGACAGACAGACAGACTCACACAAAGAGAGAAAGAGAAAAAGAAAGAAACGAAGAAAGAAAGAAAGAAAGAAAGAAAGAAAGAAAGAAAAAAGAAAGAAAAAGNGCGTGTCCAAACTTGGGAAGTTTAAGACTTGTGGAATTCTGGGAGTTGAAGTCCACAAGTCTTAAGCTTCCCAAGTTTGGACACGCCTGCATTAAATGAACTGTTGTTGAGTTGTGGACTACCTGTATACGCTTGAGTCCATCAGCAGGGCAGGTAAGCTGCCTGCCTGGAAGGAAAAAGAGCCCATTAGTGAGTCATGAATAGATGAAATGGGCAGGGTCCTTTGAGAGCTGGTAATTCTGATTAAGTTCTGCAAAGGAATGGTTATTCAATTATTAGGCAATCTAATCTCACTCAATAGTGAAGTATTGATCCCCAACAGAGGCTGAATGGGAAGACACGAGGCAGAGCACTAAATCATGCAGAGACACAGTGGTAACCCTCTGTAGGGTTCACTGCTTTGGCCAACTCAGGGCATTTCACTTTTAAATTAATTAATTTCATTGATTAATTCCATTCAGGCACCAACAAAAAAGGGGCAGGAATATCTAGCGTAGCCTGGCGTAAAACATCTCTTTTAAGAGGAATGCAGCAACCTCACTTCAATTAGGGAACAAGTTTTCTGGGCCGAATTAGAATTCTAAACTCAATTCGGGGGAATTCTTTCTATTGATTTTAACCAGCTCCAAGCTCTCAGCCCTCATTTGCCCAATTCACTTTTATTCTTTCTTCGAGGATTCATCCCCCGCAACTGCGTTCATTTTTACAGAGCTCTTGCACGTCCCGGCAAACATGCTCAATTATTTTGCCAACATAACGTGTCCCTTCCCCTTTCCGATGAGATTTAGATGTCCATATTGTTTGCTATTAATCATCATTTAGAGATGGAACATTAAACGCTTGGATGAATTTTGATTACTAATTATGAAGGGACGGAACTTAGCAAGGAAAACAAAAGAGGGGTTGGCCAAAACAGGGCTTTTATAGCTTTTAAATGCATGCAAACATTGAAAGTGGTGGTCTCCTTAATATGCGTGTTCTGCAAATAAACTGTCAGAAATTCACTGGATCAGTCAGAAGTAAGTTTTGCAAACTGTTTCTTCTTCAAACAACGGGATTGATTAACGTGTTTCTGACTAAGGGAGCAGGTTACCCCATGATTGACACTTCCACAATGAAATGTCAACTCGCTTATATTTTGCTTTTAAATAAAGGTTCACTGCAGCGTCAATGGGATGAGTTTGTCACATTGCCTTTTGAGTGGGTCTCTTCCAACAATGAATAAATGCATCATATAAGAGAACAGTCATTTCAACGGGAAAGAGATAAAGCACAGCCAACTCGGTTCCAAAAATAGTCTTGTCGGCAAGCAAGTTTCTACTTAAGTCTTCGAGGCTCCAAATTTCTCTGGATATGCTACTGCTGATAAAAACCCCACTGTTGCTTTGTTTGGGTTTTAGAAGACAACAAATGTTATTTTTGTCTGAGTGCTCCAAAACAACAAATAAAACACTGCTTCTTTCTTGAGTAGAAGCCTTGGCTCTTTCAATGGTGAAAAAAGTACGGTTCGACATTTAGGCAAGAAAAACAAAATATGCCAGTGACAGCTAACCTTTTCCAGTCGGAGTGCCCAAAGTGCCCAACCCCCCCCCAAAAAAACAATGCGTGCACTCCCACATATGCATGTGTGACCCCTCCACACCCTCCGCCCCTGCACATGCACACAAGACCCCCCCAATACGTCCCCCCCATGCATGCATGCAAGAACCCCCCTCTCCCCCCTGCATATGCCCCATTCCCTGAATGCGCAGCAGAGACCTGAAGACTAGCTGGCCGGCGGGAGACATGTGGACATGTGAATTGGAGCTAAACCGAGGCGACAGCTTACGTGCCGTCAGAGAGGGTGCACCTCTGGCACGCGTGTCATAAGTTTGCAATCACAGGTATATGTGGTACCTTGCTCAATAGTAGTAACTGTGAGTGGAATCTTGGAGTCCTAGTGGACAACCATTTAAATAGGAGCCAGCCGTTTGTAGCAACTGCCAAAGAAGCCAACACAGTTCTAGGCTGCATAAACAGAGGGGTAGAATCAAGATCACGTGAAGGGTTAATACCACTTTATAAGGCCTTGGTAAGGCCACGCTTGGAATACTGCATCCAGTTTTGGTCGCCATGATGTAGAAAAGATGTGGAGACTGTAGAAAGAGTGCAGAGAAGAGCAACAAAGATGATTAGGGGACTGGAGGCTAAAACATATGAAGAACGGTTGCAGGAACTGGGTATGTCTAGTATAATGAAAAGAAGGACTAGGGGAGACATGATAGCAGTGTTCTAATATCTCAGGGATTGCCACAAAGAAGAGGGAGTCAAATTATTCTCCAAAGCACCTGAGGATAGGAAAAGAAGAAAGGGTGGAAACTAATCAAGGAGAGAAGCAACTTAGAGCTAAGGAGAAATTTCCTGACAGAACAACTAATCAGTGGAACCACTTGCCTCCAGAAGTTGTAAATGCTCCAACACTGGAGGTTTTTAAGAAGAGGTTGGATAACCATTTGTCTGAAGTGGTGTAGGGTTTCTTGTCTACGTAGGGGGCTGGACTAGAAGACCTCCAAGGTCCCTTTCAACTCTATTATTCTATTCTATTCTTTGAAGTAGTCCAGACAAGAAGCAGTAACCCCGCATAATAACACTACCTTTACTCTCTCCCCTCTTTTACTTTCACTCTTCTGAAACTAGGGAAGGTCCCTTCTGAGATGCTTTCCCCACTCTCATCCTATGATTTGTGGCTCTTCTTCCTGTCTCTCAAGGTCATTCCCTTATAAATTACAGGAAGGTCATTATGTCTCAGCTGCAATTATCAATATAATCACTAGATGGCAGCAAGAAGATACCAACAATCCTAGCTCTCTGCTTCCCTCTTGTGCTTATCTGGAATACCGCAGCCCAAGTGACAGCGCTATTAGTAATGGGGGTCTTGACCTTGAAGGAACCGCGGTCTCAACGATCCTGACGCCCTTCAAATGTGGAGATATAATTTCCACATCTCATCAGCTGATCTTTGAAGGTTAGAAAGATTAATCTTGGATGGTAAGTGGATTTGAGACAACATGGCAATTCTGGGCCATTAGGTTACACTAAGAAGTCAGAGGAACATCCAGGAAGACCCCAAAAGCAATCCACTTCCATCATGCTGACAAGAAAGTGCTTGGATTTTATCACTATGAGTGAAGCTTGGCTCAGTTTCTGCAATTCCCCACCAGAATAGTTAAAGGTTAAACATTGCTTTTGCAAACCGCTTGCCCTCCAAATGGGCCGGCTGAGAGTTCAGAAGGGGGTGCGATCCAACAAGTTGGCACTAAGGGTTACACGGTTTGTATTTATTATCTGACATATCCGGCCATTCTGATAATTCGATAATGATTGCCACGTCGTGTCTTCTTTCAAGGCGGATGACTGATGTGGCATCAAAGCATCCATAATCAATCAATACAAGCCAGCAGATTAGGGAGGGCTGCTTTAGCCAACTCAAACAAAGGCACGCTCGGTGGCAGGGTAAGCCACAGAATTCCTTGCCCTTTCGCATCACAAGGGAAACAGAAGCCCGAAACCAATCTGCTGGGATCAGTGAGCACAAATAAGGACACCTGTGTCCCCACCCACCTCTGCGATGGCCCTTCCCTCCCCACCTCCAACAACAAAGACCAAATATACAGCTGACTGGGTAGTAGTTCTCATCCATATATCCCATCACAGAACATTTCTCGAGGTCAGGCAGATGAAATCATAAATTTATAATACAACATTACTTCAATTTTCCTCTTCATTTGCCGCTGCAGTGCCCAGCTCTGCTCTAACGAGTCAGAGCCTGATCTGCAATGGGGGGAAAATTGGCTGGCTGAATATCAATAGCACATTAACATCGTGCCCATGTGGATGCTTCATCAAGCCAAATTATGGGCCGGCCGGCCCATCCGCCATTTCCCATTTAGCCCCCATTCTCGCCCGGCGATGGGCACTGAGCAATTTATTTGCTTCAGTACTTCTGGCAAATGATCAATCTTGCAGTAATTATCTCTTGTCACTAAACTGAGAAATCAAGGCTCTGCCTAGATTACCTCCCATGAAGAGAGAACTTCGTATCTATATCAACCATCAGACATGCTTTTCACAACAGCAACTTCTTCACCACCCTTTTCCCAGGCTTATTAGTGACGGGGGTGCCAAGAGGGGTGGGTTGCTGCCGGTTTTTACCACCGGTTCGCAACCTGCGCGCTATGCACGCGTGCACTGCTCAATGTAAATTGTTTCTCAGGGTTCCAAATAGATACGAAGTTCTC